AATTTATCCTACTATTTTTTCATTTTGTGGTCATTACTGAAGTCATCTGTGGCCAAACACATCTAGGAATCACCGATATTTCCAGTAATGATATAGGGGAGGAAAATCTTGTCACAGACTGAAGATGCTTCCATTTAAAGCCAGCAGCCTCATATAGCTTCTACTATCAAAATTAAGGTGTTTACATTTATCGTTACTAAAATAAATATTGCCTAACATAAACCTTACAAAATAAATATTGCCTAATCAAACATATATATTTACATATAAATATATATAGTAAAATATTGCCTAATCATAAATCTTAGAAAATCTGAGTTTTTTAAGTAAAAACATCTGAAGTACCCGAAAGATTTTATTGATTGATTGATATTATGATATGTGTTTATTTTGATATTCAATTTGAACTACCGAAGGTTCTGTCCTAGGAAAAAATTAAGCAGAATTACCTATTTCTTTTTTTTTTTTTCGGTTGTAACATTTTTTTTTTCTTTTAAGTTTTTTTGCCTTTTTTTTTATTATGTTATGCTAGTCACCATACAGTACATCATTAGTTTTTGATGTAGTGTTCCATGACTCATTGTTTGTGAATAACACCCAGTTATTACCTATTTCTTAGAAATATTTGATAAATGAAAGTCAGAAACAAGGATGACATCTGAGCTAAGATTTCTTTGTAGAACATCTGATGCTCCAATACAAAACAGGCTTTGCTGATGACATTGGTTGTGTTTATTTTTAACTAAATTAGCAAATACTTGTTAAGCATGTGTAATGTGCCAAAATACTATGTTGGGATCTAGAAAAACATATAAAAGGTAGACTGCTCTCAGGGAGTTTTATTATAAATTGAATTAAGGAATTAAAAAAAATTAAGTCACAAACCAGTGGGGTGGGCTGGAGTCAAGGCTGGGTACCATAATTAATTGCAATTTATTTCTTTCAGTGGAATCTGAAGCTACTCTCTTCCTGGAGGCACTTGCAAGGTTAGCATTGTTTTTCACAGAACATCATAAATCTTCAGTGACCAGCCTTTGGCACATAGAAGATTTAGCGATACCGAAGATCAGATTCTCCTGATAAAGAATGTTTTCCTCCTCTTTCTTCTCCATGTTGAATTTGCAAACACCTGACTTGAACAGGATTCCAAGTCTGGCCTTTTAGTCTTAGTCTCTACTCCATGTGGTCTGGGTCATGCCTGTCTATCTCACTCTGGAGCTCCAGCTCTTTACAGGTCCTGGTCCCAGTACATGCTTCCAGCCAAAGAACTGCTCTGCAAGATTTTAGAAGCTCAAAAACTAGTAGCCAAAGTTCTGGAAAAACTTGAACTACAGAAATTTCACACTGGCACTGAGCTTCTTCAAAATCCCGCAGTGAAAAACAAAACTATCCAAAACAAATGTAGTAACTCTCAAGCTGGGCCCACATGAAAGGGTAAAATAGGGCATGTAGGCCTACTTCCAAATACTCCAGCCAGGGAAGAAGGCTCTTCTGACAAGCAGAGACAATTTGAGGCACAAAGCAATCCATATTTCAGTCCACAAATGTTTCCAGACTTTCTGCTGGGAATGGACAAAAGCAAATGACATTCAGCCCCTTTCCTGAAGAAGAGTCTAGTGAAAAACCATATAAGCACCATGGCCCTACTTGATGTTGCCAGAATAAAAATAAAGAGTTAAGGAAATGTTGTTTGATTTTGGGGGTGAGGAGACAGAAAGAGAGATAAACAACTCCAAATTAGAGTACACCACCCACTGGAAAATTCTTGTTCAGAGGTTTTGGTAGGGAGCTGGTGACTGAAAACAGAAGTCCTCTCTCCTCTGAAGCCCTTCCATGTGTGGTTTCAGATGCTAAACACCAATGTCTATTCCATCAGGGAACAGAAGAAATAGCTTTTTGTCTAAAAGGAACACACACAGGCTTCTGTAGGGACAACAACAACAGGATTTTAGAGCCGCCCTGCTAAATAAAAAGACATATAATATCAGCTACTCTTTTGGGGCGTGAGGAGGAGGAGAGCTGCTCTCATGCCAGGCATGGTGCTGGTGGCTTAGCTACCATATTGAATTCATTGCTTACACCAGTCCCGTGAGGCTGGTCCCACTCTCATTTTACAGTTGAGGAAAAGAGGTTCCGTGAGGAGGAATGGCTTATTCAAGGTCTCAGAGCTAGAAGAAGCAGGGCTGGGATACAAGACCAAAAGTCAATCTCATTCCCAAATCCACACTCTTTCTGGAGGACCAAAGTGAATACAACTCAAAAATGACAAGTTCTACTTTGCATTTTGTGCTGACCCCTGAAAAATCAACCAAAGAAGATAGGAAAGGTCGAGACAGAACTGACTCAACACATTTTGGGCCATGTTCTCTTTACTCTGCTCTCCCTCAAAGCTCATGCATCTTTACATCTGTCCCAGAAAGTCTGGAAATCTCAGATGGTCTCCTCAGACTGACAGCCACTCCAGCTGCACTCTGAATCCTGAAAGGGATTCCAGAAGGAAGATGGAAGCCGAGTAATGGAAAATGTAATGGGGCCATGCCCCTGTGTTGAGTGGGGGGCAAGGAGTCCATCACACAATGAGATTCACATTCTAGAAGTTTCAGTCTGGTGGCCGTGAGGTGGACGGAGCAGCTCAGAGGATATTAAGCCTCACACTGTGGGAGACTGTTTAGAAATCAGATGCAGTAACAGAAGTAAGAGGTAACAAGGTGCCCAACCACACAGGGGCAGCAATCTCTGGGGGTGGGGGACAGAGAAATGAGAGATGCCGTAGATGCACTATCAGTAAGACCTGCTGACCAGCGGCTGTAGGAGAGAGTGAGGGACAGGAAGGAGTGGGGGGCAAGGCCCAGTTTTCTGACAGGGGTGACCGGGTTGGTGGTGACACCATTCTTAGAGATGAGGGAGAGAGAAAGAAGAGTTGGTTTTAGGGGAAGGAGGGTAACTTCAGATGTGAGGTAGTCATGAGCACACCCAAATGGAAATGTTCCACAGGCAGCTAGATTGACAGGTTTGCTCATTCTTTCTACCAATATTTACTGACTCCCCACCACGCACCAGATGTTGAGCTTGGCATTAGGTGTGGAGTGGCGACCAAAACCCAAAACAGACGTGTTCTCTGCCCTCATGAAGCTTACAGGCAATAAACGAACACATAACAGAATCACGATGACCAGTTGGAGTAAGTGTTACACAGAAAAGAATAAGGTGCTATGAGAAGAACCAGTCTGAGTGTGTGAGACTTGATGGGGAAACCGAGGCTGAGTAGGACGAGAAGGTTCTGGAGCTCAGAGGAGGCACTGCCTGGCTGGAGATGGAGGGGGGTCCACTGGGGGTCATGTGCACATTGGCGGGCGGTGAGCCAGAAACTATCGTACAGGCTGTTGGGGCGGGGGCCGAAGAGCTAGAAGCCCCACAGGCTGAGTCTGCTGCTCGTTCACTCAGTGCGAAGGCCACACACTCACAGGGAGCACTCTGGGTGTCTCACACTGAGGTTACAACCTGCCCAGGGACGATGGGCATTTTGCCACCTCTCCAATGAGGGCATGCTGGGCACGTGAAAATCCGTACAGGGTACCCACTGATTCGGCCTAGATCGTGGGAGGCCTGATGAAGCTAACTCCAGGCGGGACTGAAATCTTCATGCCAACTCGGGATTCTCAAACACAAAACAAGAACAAAACCTCAGCAACTTTTGTCTAACTCATGCTCCATTTTCTTCCTGGAAACGAAAGCCAGGAGACGTGGTTTTAGAAGGGAGCCCAGTTAAGCCCCAGTCCGTCCCTGCAGGAGCTAAGCCGCCAGTGAGCATCCCAAAATGGCTTGTAACCATTTAACAGAGAAAAGAAGACTGCGTTAAGCCCAAACTGGGAGTTGTTCGCCTACGTGCAGAGAGTGTCTACAACAACAGAAACAACAGCAAACGTTTACTGAGCACTTACTATGTGCTGGCTGGCACTGTTCAAGTCACTCAGTCTTCCGACAGCCCTATGCAGGATTTACTTTCAGTAGCCTTATTGTGCAGATGAAGAAACTGAGGCACGGAGAGGTTAAGGCGCTTTCCCAAGGCCCCCACCCTCCTCTGACGTTTAATTGGAAGAGCCGGGATTTAAAGCCAGAAGTCTGGATCCCAGAACCCACTCTCTTCACTAGTCTTTTGATAAATGGGTCACTGGTATAATAGTTGGAGTAAAAGGCCCGTGTGGAGGTGGGGCCTGATTTGTGAGGCGCCGAGGGGAGATGGACTCTGCGGGTTGTTCCCAGGGGAAGAGGGATGCTCCCAGGCAGTCTGGTTTCTGACAGCCTGCCTCTGAGAGGGTGAAACCATCCTCAGAGAGTCCTGGAGTTTTCCAGACAGAAGGGGACCTGGGAACTGCTTAGTTGAGCTGCTGGTTTACAGATGGGGAAACTGAGGCACGGGGAAGCGGAGGGACTGTGCTAGGAAGGGACAGAAGCTGGGTCAGAGGGAGTGTCCTCTCCCAGGAAGCCTTCCCTTCCTCCTTTTCCCTTGAGGATTCTGCTTGAGCAAGCCCGTCTCCTGCGCACCTTCGGGGCCCACTTCGGCTGAGCAGGTGTTTATGGTTCCCCGTGGGAGTCCCCAGGGCAGCCAGGAGGAAATGAAGCCACCTCCCACCCAAGGAGCTAGCGTCTCCCAAAGCTGTCTTCACGAGGATGCCACCCTGCACAGCAGAGCCCCTTACCCCTTCGGAATCTGCAGACCCACCTTCCTGACCCAGGCCGTTTTTATCCCGAACTGGAGCGACCCTACGCAAACCCATTTCAAAGACCCCACCTGGGTCTCAAGACACCCCCTCGGGACACAAGGTTCCCACCTGGACCCCTCCAGTGAGTTTCTGGGAACTGTGCAGTTCTGACCGCCAGCATCGCTCCCCTCCTGCACTCCTGTGCCTCCCTGGAGGAAGTACCCACCCACCGCAAGGCGGTGGTGGCCAGAGGGGAGGCTCCTCTCTTTGGCCATCCAGAGCCAAAGCAAGTCTTACCTTTCCACCTGGAGGTTGACTTTGGAAGGCTCCACGTTGGGATTTTCCCATTCCATTTGCGGGCAGTGCATGAAATAGCAAAGGGTGTACAGGGCCTCCGGCTCCCAGTAGAGCGCCCCCTGCTTGTGGTGCAGGGGGGTGCCGTTGCCGTGGTGCTTGGCATTGAGGGGCTGCAGGTGATGCATTGCTCGGGACACCAGGTCACCTGTGGACAGAAGTAAGATTTCAGATCCTTCAGGTGGCCATGACTTGCAGAGATGTGCTGAAGACCTCTGCAGAGATTCCGATCCTGGGACTCCCTCACTCAACTGCAGCGGTCCTCCGGGTCCCACAGTGAGCAGAGAGGAAAGCATCTGTCCAGTCACCATATGACTGCCGCTGCTTACCAGGTTTGAGCTGCGACTTCAAGCACAAAGGGCGGCCAAGATAATCACAGTCCTGCCCTTCTGGAACCCACGGCTTCTAACAAGGCACAGGGAGCCCTCTGTGCGCATCACCTTGGGACACACCCTTGGTCACATCTTTTGCTGTACCCAGTGCTGCCTTACCTCTAGTCACAAGTATAGTCAAGGACTATACTGCCTCTTGCCTCTGAGCCTGTGCATAGGCTGTTCCCTTTATCCAGAACATTCTCTCTCTCCTCTTCTCCAGGCTAACTCCTACTGATCATCCAGGTATCAGCTGGTATATTAACTTCTCCAGGAAGTCCTCCTGGAATCTCCCCCACCCCCTTGTATGTGTGTCACACTGCACTTTCTTTCTTTTTTTTTTTTTAAAGATTTTATTTATTTATTTGTCAGAGAGAGAGACAGAACACAAGCAGGGGGAGAGGCAGGCCGAGGGAGAAGCAGGCTCCCTGCTGAGCAAGGAGCCCGATGTGGGACTCGATCCCAGGACCCTGGGATCATGACCTGAGCCGAAGGCAGCCGCTTAACCAACTGAGCCACCCAGGCGTCCCAACACACTGCACTTTCTTTTTTTTTTTTTTTAAAGGTTTTATTTATTTATTTGAGAGAGAGAGAATGAGAGAGAGAGAGCACATGAGAGGGGGGACGGTTAGAGGGAGAAGCAGACTCCCCGCCAAGCAGGGAGCCCGATGCGGGACTCGAACCCGGGACTCCAGGATCATGACCTAAGCCGAAGGCAGTTGCTTAACCAACTGAGCCACCCAGGCGCCCAACACACTGCACTTTCTTATCACAGCAGGTAGAGCACTGGGTTAGAGCTGCCATTTCCTTGTGGGTCTTTCCCCATGGCAGCAACTCAGTCTTAAACGACATTTATGCACCAGCACAGTTTTAAGCACCCCAATTCATCACCCCAAAGCAGGTACCTTTATAAACCCATTTTATGGATGAGGAAAGAGGGCAAATAACTTCTCAAGGTCAACCAGCAGCCACAAGCAGCAGAGCCAGGATTTGAACCCAGGCAGTCTGGCTCCAGAATCCCCGCACTGAACCATTCTCCTTGAGGACAGGGGCTCTGTCTTACTCTTCTCTGCACTAGCAAATCTGGGATACCCTCTAGTCTTTCTCCTGCTTTCTCTGAAGGAAACCAGCCTTCTCTTCATCAAACCAAATGCATACTCCCCGGTTGGCCGCACAGGGAGGACCTTCCTGTTGGGAGGCTGGCTGGGCCTGGAAGCCCTGACTTTTCTAGGCTAAGATGGCATTTCCCGAACTTAGGTTGTTTGTATACCACCTTCATGAGTGCAGCTGTATCCAAGTCCCATCTGTGCCATCGTTTACTTAACTTTCAATGGGTTCATTTAGGGGCGCCTGGGTGGCTCAGTCCGTTAAGTGTCTGCTTCATCTCAGGGTCCTGGGATCAAGCCCCGCATTGGGCTCCTTGCTCAGTGGGGAGCCTGCTTCTCCCTCTGCCTGCAGATTCTCCTGCTCATGCTTGCTCTCTCCCTTTCTCTCTCTGACAAGTAAATAAAGTCTTTTAAAAAAATAAATGGGTTCACTTAGATTTTTTTTTAAATACGGATATCTAAAAAGGAAATGTTTTGTCACTTATCATAAACAGAAGATCAGTATCAGTTGCCATAAACAGAAGATCACTATAAAAGTTAATTTGATGAAAACAAAACAGTATAATTAATTTATAGCTGAATTCTGGTCCTGGTTTTTTTTTTTTGTTGTTGTTCTAAATAATAAGTGTTAGAAAAGTGTTAGGGGCTCATACCAAATGGAGCCTTTCTTCTTGAAGCAATCAGAATTAAAATAGAACTTAAAAGGATCACTCCATGACCGATGTTATTGAATGCACTGCCCTGTTCCACTCGTCCAGTGGAATGTGTTGCACTCTCTGGGAAACACTCATCTGAGATACTTGTGATGAATAATTTTATGTGTCAACTGGGTGAGGCTATGATGCCCAGTTGTTGGGTTAAACACTAGATTATAGGTTGCTGGGAAGGTATTTTTCACATTAACTTTTAACATTTAAATCAGTAGATTTTGGGAAAAGCAGATTATCTTCCAAAATGTGGGTGGGCCTCATCCAATCAGCTGAAGGCCTTGGGAGAAAAGACCTTGAAGAAGACGGAATTCTGCCTTCAGGCTCAAGACTGAAACATCAACTGGAATTTACTGCTCCCTCTTCACCCCACCCCACCCCACCCAGGCAGCCCCTGGTGGGGGAAGGAGACTGTCTCCTCCAATCCCAATCCTTCACTGCCCAGTAGAAACCAGGCCTGCGGAGCCCACCACTCCTCTGCCATCCACCTGTACCTTCTAACAGGACACTTTGACCTCAAATCCAAACCCAAGAAAGTGAGGCTCAGTGACAGGCCTGAGTTTCTCCTCTGAAGGCCCAAAGCCTACTTTCTAGTCTGAGGGTGGGGTCATTTCCTTAAAAGAAGATTGACAAGAGAGTCATTCACCTCCCCCTCCCCTTAGGGGAATCAACTATGGAGATGCGGTCTCAGCCAAGGGCAGAAATGGCAAATACTCCCCTTTCTAGTCCATGTCCATGACAGACATGGTTAATCAATCACAGAGCTCTTATGCACGGAGTGTAGATGTTGCCTTTAAATCCTTCTTGAGACAAGATTCCAAGTGGCCACTATTTCTGATACAGGAGTTTCCTCTGATACAAGGAAACTTCCATGTTGTCAGAGTTCTAAGGCCTTAACAGGACAACCGAACCAGAGTATAATCCACCAACCTTAATATCTGGACAGCAAGCAGATGCAGGGGCTGAACAGAGAGCAGGTGGGGTGGCCATCTTGCACCCCTCTGCATCTTACCATGCCTCGCTCAGAGCCTTACCCTCCTCTCTCCATTCCCCACAGTGGGAACATATGCCCAAGAAACTCAAAAAAAGAATCAGAGAAGGAAATTCTCTCTTAGGGGTAGGTGGGCCAGGGAAGACCCCCGGGGGGCCTGCAGATGGAAAATATGGGGAACCAGTGCTCACAGTCAGGAGAAGGAATTCAAATCCCAGCTGTGCCGCTCATCAGCGCACAAACCAGCAAGTCACTCAGCCTCGCAGGCGAGGAAATGAGCCCCCTGTTGGGTGGGTGTGAGGGTTCAGGGCAGAATGAGGAAGGGCCTGGCACGCTGTGGGCATGAAATTAGCCACTCTCTTAGGCTCAGGGCCCGCCTGCTCGTCCTTCTCTCTGGATGGTGAGACCTGGAGGTCCGGTGCCTGGGACGTGCGGGGACAGTCCTGCCAGCGTCCTGACCCAGCGCCAGATTTGCTGCTTCATGCTGGGGTTGACATTTTTAGGAATCTATGCTATAAAGCTGTGCACTCTGGGTGTCTGTCTGGGGGTGCACTTAGGTCCTTAGTTGCTTTTTCTTCCCTGTTCTCTCTACATCTTTTAGAAATGCTGCTCCTTGGGAGGGAGGAAAAAAGGAAGCCAGGTGCCCGCCTTGGGCCGGTCCTATCAGTCAGTCTCATAAGGGGTGGCTCCAGCCACTGGTAAAGGGAGGCTGACCAGTGAATGTAGAGAAGGAGCCTGGAAGAGAACAAGATGGCAGGTCTGGGCTGGGACTGGGCACAATGACGATGTTGTGAATTTTCTGATGAGGATGACATGAGGTAGAGGGAGGTGACAGCAGAAGCGGAAACCACAATAGACAGAGAACCTGCCATGTCTCGGGCCGTTTATACACTTTCCGGTTTAATTATCTAAGAGCCATAGAGGACATAAACCCACTTCAGTGATGGGAAAATCAAGGCAAGGGGCAACTGGCCCAGGTGTCACATAGGAAGGAGCAGGTTGCAACTCCAATGAGGCTGCCAGGGCTCACGTTCTTAGTCAGTACACCCCAGTTCCTTCTAGAATCTACCTCAGGGTGTGGCCTTTGAAAAACTCTGGTGAAGAGTTGAGGCCTAAATTTGAGTCTCCCCAAATATATGCCATTGTGGATTCCATGGTGAGGGGCTCAGGAGATGGGTCGGCCTCTGCTGACAGAGGGGAGCTTCCGGCTGAGGGGGCTCAGCGTCTGACCTGTCTGCAGGAGGGGGTGGTGGCTGCTGGGTCCACCTGCATGGATGGCCATGCACACTCTTAGATGATACCTGCCCTAAGGAAAGGGGCCTGGAGGGGCACACGAGTAACCAGCGATGATGTAGGCAGGAAGCTGGTTCTGGAACCAACCGAAGCCTGGTCTCTCAGATCAGAACTTTGGCTCGGGCGCTAGCAGAGCTGAGAGAGCTTTTCCGGGAAAGCTGTGAACATGCGTAGCAGCCCAGCAGCTGGGCTTTGGGGCCATGGGATGAGGCGACAGTGGGCAACAGCAGACACCCATTTAAATAGCACTCCTGTGTGCAGGACACTTCTGAGAGCTTTCTATATATTACACCACTTTGGTGCGATGCAAGCCAGTGAGGTAGGTCCAGGTGGCATATCCATTTTACAAATGAGGAAACTGAGATCCAGGGAAATAATCTGGCTTCAAACTACTGCCATTTGGATCTCTCAGTTACTGTACCACGCTGCCCTCAGGAGAGGGCAGGAGAGAAGGGGGTCTTCATTCCTTGGTGGCAGCAAGAGCCCACCAGGAGCTCCAGAGATCATGGCTGGCTTGGCCACACCCAGAGTCTGGGCAGAAAAGCTCAGCCCATCTGTAACTGGTACCTGTCAGTAACCACATCCTTGGTGGGCACAGGGGTGGGGACAAGCCGCAGAGGCCGTGGCAGATAGGGCCAAAGCTCTGGAAGGAACTGCAGACCTCCCAGTTCTGCCCCTGG